CCTTTCCTCTGATCACGGCTTGCTTGGTCTCGCAATGAATCCTAGGATATCCAAGAATACCGAGGGTACATCGGACCCGTCCTTCAAATCGGGCAAAAAGAAGGACGCATTATAAGGCCGCATAACGAGGACTCTTGGAATCCGACCAGACCTCGGCGCCGCGCTATGACGTAATCGGCCTTCGAATCCGGTCTTCTAAGGATGCGTCCTAGGTTTTCGAACAGAGCCTAGGCCAATTAGCAGATTGGGAGCAGTTGTGAACAGAGGCAAGAAGGGAGCTAGGGAAAATGAGATTGACACAAGATAGAATCTTAAAAAAATACAATCAAAAATATCTAGAACACAAAAATGGAAATAAGTACAATGAAACTCAGAGATAAAACTTGAACAGAACCAAAACCATGACAGTGTGCTGCCTCTATTTAAAGACAGTAATACATTTATCAATTGTGGAATTACATTACATATATACAATAGATACGTTGATAGTTACAAGGGCATTTAAGTAAATTCATACTAGAAACGGTCAGAGGTACAAGCAGTAGCAAAGTCCAAATCCTTGGTTACCTTGCTGAAGTAGAAATTTTGGCTATCAATACTTTACTTGTATTATTTTTTAAGACAACTTTTTACTTCTACTCCTTACATTTTTTTACAAATAACTTTACTTTCTACTCTTTACATTTTAAAAATAGATTTATTAGTTTTATTTAATTTAAGCTAATTTACGTTATGGCCTGTTGATATAAAAAAAAATACAAACCATCAAAATAACACAACACAATTACTAATGCTAGAAAACTCTCACACCAAAGGCTCAAGAAGAACAAACCAAAACATAATGACCCAAACAAGGCAGGTGGAGTCCAAAAACCAAACAACCCAAACAGGATGGGAGGAGGGGGTCTGGAAGGAGGGTCCAAAATAAAATGTCATTAAATCAGGAAACACCTGAAATCATTTTGCCACCTAAAAACAACATTGGCTTAACACAAAGGGGATCTGGCCTGCTAAAGGGCTCTGTCTCAGGGACTGGCCCGCTAAAGGCCTCTAGCTCAGGGACTGGCTGCTAAAGACCTCTGGCTCAGGGACTGGCTGCTAAAGGGCTTCAGCTTAAAACTGCCCCACAAAAGGGCTTTGGCTTGAAAACTGCCCCACTAAAGGGCTCTGACTTGAAGAGAAAAGTGTTACAGGAAGTAGGAGGAGGTGCCGGGAAGGGAAATAGGTGATCTTCCCTATCCCCATAAAAAAATCAAATAGTACAGATTCAGAAGTTGGTGGAGGAACACAAACAGGATAAGAGTCCTTGGATGTTGGAGGGTTTTGAGTCCTGGAAATAATCAACTGAGATCTGGGAAACAGGAGACCTGGGGAAGCAGAGAGTCTGGTAAGCTCAGCTGAGTTCTATCCTTTACAGGACAGGATCTCACTCAATGTCCCTCTCCGCCACAGTGGAAACACAGGTTAAGCTGATGATATCATTTCTTCTCCTCCTTGGACAAGCGTGTACATCCCAGCTGCATCGGTTTGGGATCCGACGTTTGAGTGGGACCAAGTACCGACACAGGGAAAAATGAGCGGGGCGAGGAGCTGGTCGAGGGATAGCCGACTCCAGTGCTTTACATTCTTTGCAACGTTCTGTGAGGCAAAGATCTATCTATATGGCGAGGTCCTCCAGCTGCTTCAGGGTCCAAGGGTAGACATGGGTTGAAAGTTCATCCTTAATCTTTTCATTAAGGGCAAAAAAAAGAATATGTCTGTGAGGGCATCCTCATTCCAGGTTCTTTCAGAGGATAACAGGTGGAAGTCAATAGATCGATCACCCTGCCTAAGTGACAGAAGTCTCCATGAAGCTTCTCAACCAGGATGAACTGGGCAACAACTCTGATTAGTTCCTGAGAAAATGCTTTCTAAGAGTCACATAAACTAGAAGTGTTTTGCCATTCAGAAATTCCCCACAGCTTAGCTTTTCTGGCTAATATTAAAATTACGTAAGCTGTAATCAACAATCTCCTGTCAGCCTGACTCGAGCTGAGAAATACATTGTCCAATGTCCAAAATCCAATGTCTGGCCAGATTATTCTGTCAAGGTTTAGAAAAGAGGACTCCGTATTCAAGGCAAGACACAGTGGATTACTCAAAAAGCAGATTGGCATAACTGCAGTAGCAGCAGCTAGGCATCTGAGGCAGCGACCTCTAAAGAGAGAAACACAGGTTATTGACCACGATAATCTGACGGAGGATGATTATGCACATGAGTCAATATCCTGGCTTAACAGTTCAGTCTGTGCTCAGAGAACGTGGTAGATTCCAGACACTGCAACCTTGAAGACTGCAAAACAAACAGGAGATCAAATCCAAGCAGTTGAAGGAAGACATGATAATCCAGAAAGCGAAGTCAAGAGGTAGATCCAGGTACAGTCCACAAGAAGAATCCAACAGGAGACCGAAGACAGGTCAGGCAAACAGATCAGAACAGGGATAGGTAGGCTCAAGGTTATGAAGACATATCATGTCAGGATCAGGCATTCAGAGCACAATCATTATAGCTAGAAAACTCTCCCACCAATGGCTCAAGAATAATATTGCACTGATAACTGGGAGCAGGCAGTTAAACAGACGATGGAACAGGTGGATATTATGTGAGGTAATGAGAAACTGGACAGAGCTAGGCAGGAGAATGAAATAAGCAGTCAAGTCAGTCATCATGATATTTGCCATGATGTTTGTTGTTATATGTGATCTTATCAAGTGAGCAATGTGCTGCCTTTGTCCAAAGACAGTAATAAATTCATTGTGTAATTAAATTACACAAATATGATATAAAACAATTTGAACATTTATTGAAAATTTGTGTAAATCAATGCTTAACCAGATAAGCGCATTTTTGGTTTAAGATTTTATCAGAGTGATACATCTGGCCTTTAAAAAAATGTATTTACTCTATACTCGAACTCATGAGCGCTGCTGCCCTTTGGGAAGAGGCTTCGCAGCATCCGATACAGGTCCAGAAGATTCCGAAACAGCCTCTTCCGCACTGCTATCAGACAGCTGAATGTTGAGAAAACTCTTAATTATGTCACTGACTCAGCATCACACTGATAACACCAAACCAAAATTTTGCCTTTTTGCACCATAAACATTTAAGGCTCTGAACTGCCATATCAACCACTTTATACCACTTCCATGGTGCATTTTTTGAATCATGCTTTTTTCTCCCACACTGTTTACATTTGATCATGGCTGCGTTTTAAAGAATGTAAATGTTCTGAAAGCTGCACAAAACGAAATTTTATTTTGTAGACACTTCTGTGTCTACAAAATAACAATAAAAGTTATCTTAAGTCTAAGTCAAGACCACAGAAATTATCCTTTACATATTTTCTGGAGAAAAATTATTCTTTTAGTACAGGGAGATATGTGGCTCATAATCCCACTAAGCAAGTTGTGCATACTTCAGTCAAATATTCGTCTTTATGAATGCTTCTCTCTTTAAAAATCACTTTAAAATGTGTTAAGACTTATTTAATTAACATCTGGAATGTGTTGGTAATGTTTAGACGTGGGTATCTTCCATTCATTTGGTTTGCTCTGTACTTCGCTGCTCTTAGTGACATGTGGTGAGGCCAGCATAGAAAGCTTTTCTATTTAAAAGATCTATGACAACATGTCTACTTTTAAGGCTAGACTCAAAACTCCTTTTCGATAAAGCTTATAATTAGAGGCGTTATCCTGAGCTATCTCTAGATGCTAAGACTTCTGGAGGACATAGGGATCCCTTTTCATCATTCTGCTTCATTCTATCTCTATTCTCCCACTCTGCAGAATCT